GCATTTTTTTTTAAAAAAAAAAACCTGATTGGGTCCTGCTGAAACGTCTAACTCTGTAACCCAAATAGGCAACTTGGCAGCCGCAACTACATCGATTGTCGCTCTTATATACGGCAGATTCAAATAACTGAAATGACCCTCGAGCCCGATGCCCAAAAGATCTTCATAACCAAAGTCCCTAAAGTCCTTAATCTTCTGCAGATACTTCCAGGGTGATGAACTACCATCTCGACACTCTTCGATCGTGTTGTAGTCGTTTAAAAACAGCGTAGCATTCGGATCGATTTCATTTGTCATTTCATAGAATACCGCTGAAGCGTTGCTTCCCAACGCATTCTCGTAGAAGCTCCCGTGAATATTTTCGTTAACAACGTCCCATTGCCTAAATCGACCTCGGTACTTGCTGACTACCGAGCGTGTCCTGTCGTTTGCGGCCCTCCGCAAGGCGTCCGGGGGAAGGCTTTGTACCCAACTGGGGTTACCATTTTTGACATCCCAGAGAATATTGTGGCCACGAACAGAAATGTTGTGGGAGTCGCAGAATTTAAGAAGCGCATCTGACGTGGAGTAGTCCACGTGTCCTCGAGTGTATTCTGTAGAGTACCATTTCAGCTCGTTTTCAAAGACGCTGAGTTTGAATCTTGATGTAAACCAGTTTTGGTATTTTGGGTTATTGAGTATGTTGTTATTGATGGCACAGCCAAAGGGAAATGTTGCAAAGTTTTGCTTCATGGAGACTGTGGCGTTCGGTATGGGTTGGTTTTTTTGGTCCACCACCACAAATTTCACCTTTGATTTTCGCACCTACAAAACAATAATTTCATTTAGCAACACATGAAAAACGGTCCACTATGTTGGTCGTTTTCTGAAAAAGGTTAAGACGTCATCAAGAATGGTCCACTAAGTCGCCAATTTAATCAAAATTCGTACAATAACCAACATAGTATACTAAAAGTGATAATTTTTCAGTCGTCATATTTAGTACACGATGTTGGCTTTTGTACGAGTTTTGATCAAAATGACAACTTAGTTGACCATTAATGAAGACGCCCTATATGATGGACCAAAACGACCAACATAGTGTACTAAGAATGAATTTTAGTCTGTTTAAAATATGGGTGATTATATTTACAAGGTCTTAGAAAGTATGTAATTACTTCTTTAGGAAAATTAATAAGATACAACTTAAATCTAGCTCATATACACACCTTTATAGTTATTCTTGTAAATTATCATAGCTTGATATTGCTCTATAATAGCATTGTTTAATTTCTTATTTGTTGCAGTCTAGCAATATCAAGATTCACCTCAAGTATATCTGGACTAAAAGTAGCTCATTTTAAAATATGTTTACATTCATTTTTTTTTTTATATTTGTTAATAATATTACTCCATAATTTTCGAAAAAAAATTATAATGTATAAAATGCTATCAAATAAATCAAACTTTTATGAGTCATGCAATTTAAGTTATTAAACACACATGTAAAGTATATTATATCACCCTTTTAGATAATTAAGATATACCAATTAATAGCTACAAGAATGCTAAAAACTATACGAGTAATGCTCCTCTACCCACGGTGAGCACATGTTAATATGTCCACCGTTTATATGGCATGCACACATTGGTAATGTATGTATTTTTTTTTAACATATTAACATCACCAATGTGTGCATGACACATGAACGTTGAGTATATTAACATGTGCCCACCGTAGGAGAGCATTACTTAAAACTACAAATAATTGTTTATTTTTTCTTTCAAGCCTAATATAAAAGAACATTTAGATTTACTTTCCACCGAAATCAATAAGAACAATGGTTTATTTCCCCATTATCTCCATTTTTGTCGTTTTGGTGGTCCATATGCATTGTTTCTTAATTTTTTTTATTTTTTTTTATCGTATTTTACTAATGGGTATTAAGCTATTATTTTACTCAGCATAGGTGCCCATATTTGACTGCATTTGGATACGCCCGTGATTCAAAATGGACCTCAAAACTCATGGGTGAGATTAGATAGAAATAAAATCTATTTTCATCAAACTTATTGGTTAAATTTGAGTTATTTTTAAATAAAGTTGATTGAGTGGATTAATGATGCGGATAGTTTAATAAATATTATTATTATTATTATTATTATTATTATTATTATTATTATTTAGTAGATTAGTGAACAAGTTAAGTTTAGGGCTTTAGGAGTCTTATTTAAAGACTTTTTCTTCTTCTTCTTTGTTATTCGGGAAGTTGATTATTGAATGAAAATATGATTTGATTGTGAGTTTTATCGAGAGAGTATCACGCTTATCTGTCTCACTCGTACGCTTCCCTACATCACTTGGTATAAGAGCTTTATCTTATATTGTGAGTTCTTCATGAGAGAGTATCTCGTATCTTTCCCGTTTTTATTCACGTTCTACATCAGTTGGTATCAACAGTCAGTACGATTCGTGATGTCGCTGGGACGACAAGATGCCGCAAACGAACGACGTGATGCAACCTTCAACGATCGGTTTCAATAGATCGACTACAGATTTCAACAGTTCGACGAGCGCTTCACGGATTGGTTTACCAATCTTTCGGCGGGGATCGAAGATTTTCGTTTGACGCTTAACAACATCGTTGTTTCGGAATTACAAACTAACCACGATGGGGCTGGTGGCCGTGGCAATCGTGGGGGAGCCAGAGGCGGACATGGAGGACGCGGCTATGTCGGGGCACCCCAGCAGCGGTCCCCGTCGCCTCTAAACGGCACAGAGAATAGAGAGAGCACCTGGTCGACGAACAACTCGTTCACTGGCCGTACGGGGAGGAGCGATGAGAAGACCTTGACTGATTTGCGATTCTCTACCAGAGGCAGACGAGCATTGAAGCCCT